TTCATCGTCGAAATAAAGACAAAAAAGGCTCAGAACTTTTTACTTCACCTAATAATAAATTCTGAAAGTTATAGACGATAATATAGATGAGATACATAGGGTAGGAACGGCGAGGCAAGTGTGTATAGTTCGCTTAATTTTTCATCGTCTTTGTCTCATCGGTTTTTCCTTCCGGTTGTTTTTCCTTCTATCGTTGGTACATACACGCAATGCATTATCGTGGCAGCTTTACGTTCTACAGATCTGCGAGACTCGTGCGTATGTTTACAACCGGCGGCGTACGTACGTACGGCATTGTGATATTACGTGGCCGGGCGTGATCTCGCGTGTCGCGCCAATGGAACGTTGTTGCAAACAGTGTACACAGTATAGAGTTACGTTTTATGCACTACTTCCTGACACCGGTAGCACGATCGTCGTGTCCCGTTAATTTCCACCCGCGACGATCACAACTCTTTGTTCGCCTTGGAACAAAGTCAATAATGATCCAGGATCCTTATAAACGAAAATAGGTGTTTTCTGAGATCCTTGAAAATAGTTGTTCTATGTGTGCTTTAATATTATTAAAATTGAATAATAATTAATAATATTAAAATTGAATAATAATTAATAATATTAAAATTGATATTATTAATAGTATAATAATTAATAATAATAAAACAGTATAATAATTAATAATATTAAAATCGAATGTACCTAATAGTCAATCTACTCTTCATTTTCTATACGTAAAATTTCATATTTCATGTAAATCATTTGTTCTAAGGTTCAAATTACATTTAAATTGTTAATACGTACATTTTTTAAGCGCTCGGCTGTTAAAACAGTAGTAATCCTTTTATTCGTTTATAAGTGGAATTTGATTGGTTATGTAGAATCGACAACTTTTGTAAGAGGAATCGGTAAAGGGTAGTTGAGAATGGGAGCCGTTAAAAAAGTTTCGCGGGGATAATCTCGTAGATTCAAGATGGCAAGGCGGGTTGCCATCTTTCTTACCCGGGTAAGTTTTTAACGGCGAACCATGTCCATGAATCATATTTAATTTACGACGCAGCCGGGGGAACAACGGCGCGGCGTCCGGGCAGGAAAGTTCCTGCCCCGTCACGAAATTTTGATTCGCTCTTTCACGCGAGCTCCCACGCGCGCTCGGTTATTTGAAATGCAAAATAAAACGACGACGCGCCGGATCGTCCGGAGCGCATTCGTTCTCGTTATCGTGCAACGAGAAAATCGTCCGGGTTCTTCTTGTTTCTCACCTCGAGGTCCATCGTTGTATCGTGTACAACGTTTTAACCCTTTGCGTCCCAAGCTCTTCCCTCGGGGAGCACCCAGCCGCTCTACGAAATTTTGTAAAGGAAAGTTAGAAGGAGTAATACGTATTTAAGTTGAAAATCATTTTTGGTTTGCATGTTCCACGTTTCAGGAATTAATATCGTACAACATAAAATGTTTGGTTTTTTGCACTCCAACCATTTTCCCCAAGGAGGGTACAGAATAAATAAAAGAATTTGCACTCAAATTTGTATTCTAAATAAAAGAATTTGTATTAAAATTGAAAATTATTTTTGTTTCGTGCGTTTCATACATTTAGACATTTTAGAAATCAGCATCGTACGATAGAAGGTGTCCGGTTCAGTCGTAAAGAATTTTTCCAATTTCGTGAGCGAAGTAGTTTCTGAAAAAGCGTGAAAATTGTTAAACCCGTCGCCGCTGATTCTCGTAAGGTCTGTCCCTGACGGGAAGTTGCGGCTTCGATCGTCGGGAAACGAACCGAAATTACAGTTTATCAAAGCAGAAAACCGCGCAATCTGCTGGCGACGCGAGCCAGCCAAGTTCCGTGAGCCGTTTCCCAGTTGCGAAAACTTCCCTCCCGCAATTTGTACCTCTCGCCTTCGTGAAAAATCGCCCGGTCCACCTCGACGTTTTCGATCCCGGCGAAATTTTTGGCTACGAGTCACTCGTGAATTATTTTTCACAGCCGGACGTGCAGCGAATTATAAAAATTGCCGATGATATCGAAACGCCTCTGGAAAGAGGATCTAATCATGATCTCGTGCAGGCGGGACAGGTGCGTGGGAGAAATGCTCGATGGAAAGAAAGTATACTCTTGCCCGTATGCGCGTTTGATCAGCATTTTTATCCCTCGTAGAACTAAACAGGAGATCAGTCTCTCAGCTTGCGAATAAATTTCTCAGCAGCTCTCCGCATTTTTTCCCTCGTTGAAACGACGTGACGGCAATTTGCGAGTAGGATTTATCAGCGCTCTGGCGAGCAGGATAGCCAGGATGATCCTTTTCACGAGTTTCGAAAGGTTCAACTTAATAGAGAATTTAGAGGCGGTACGTGCGCGTATTTCGGTGATTCCGATGCCCACGCGAGGACGCGGCTCCTCATGATTTACCGCTACTAAATTTTTCGAATAACTTTTCTTAGGAACAGTTGAATCGGAAGTCGTCCGCACGGACGGGTTTTTGACGGTGGAGAGAAATTTCTTTAGAAGAGGCGAGGCTATCCGGGGAATCTTGATAAGAAAATCCGATAATCGATTGGAATTTTTTCGAATCGGGAATTGTCCATTCCTCGATATTGCTTTTACTTCTTATACGGCTTCTAATTAAATTCTGCAGAATGGCAATCTCAATTTATGTTTTTTAATTCTGGATACTTTCGTTCTCAGATCTATTTTCTTAAAGAAAATACACACCCTTGTCTATACGACACTTTCAAATCCTTATTGTCTATCGTAGAGTCTGATTCGAAATTAGATTATATCTCAATTAAAACAGCATAATAAATCATGCAACCAAAACCGTGTAATAAATCCTATAAAATTACAGAATAAATTTAGAACATATTCAATAAATCGCATTTCCACTGGGACAACGTGAACGATCATTTCAGAAACGAGCTTTCTTCAAACTTGTCAATATTTAAAATTATAATCTGTTATAGCAAAATCGTGTTTCCTATCGAAAAATATCTTTAGTTGTTGGCATTATGGCACGAATACGTGTAAAATTTCTACTGCAAGAGGGATTAACGACGAGCAGGGGTGGATCCTTACGGGCAGAGAACGCGTTCTATCGTTTTAATCCCATTTACCGGATCCACGCGTGAACAGGCCGCGCTGTCTCTATCCTTCCGCCAAGACAGAAGCTTTATTGTGCTCGCGCGGCTGCTAGCTCGCTCAATATGCTCGGCAATCACGTTACGGCGTGGTCCGGCCAATCATTAATTGAAATTCGATTTTTATTTGATTAGCGAGCGTCCGTAAATCAGAAAATGGTACGGTCTTACCGGTTTCAGCGATTCTTTACAGGGAAACGCGTTTAAGACTCGACATCGGGTTCTAGGTTTAAATTGGAATCTAGATCATCTTGAAATCTCTTTTTCTCAGCCTTCTTTATTCTAAGAATTTTCGCTCCTCGCTGGAAAATTAGAAGAGGGAAACGGTGGCGTTAAAAAATTATGGGAAAATCGTAAAGCGAGATGGCTGGGTCGTAAAATTCAAAGAGGCACGGGTGGAAGGTTTTGGGTCGTCGGCACGCGTCGGGGAAGGTTTTCGCGATCGATCGGCCAAACATTTGCAGGAAAAACAAAAGGGGAGGAGTAATGGAAATTTTTTTGCAAAGTACCGGGAATCCCGGGCTTGCCTCCGTACCGAGATTTTTTACAAATCCCCCTGTCCGTTCCGTCGGCATTAAAATCTATCGGAGCGGCACGGGATATTTCCTATTTCAACGAATCGACCGGGGCGACCACTTTTCATCATCGCGGACTCTGTTATCGATGCGAAACGATCAATCGCGTAGCTGTTCCGTGTACGGCGTGTTTTTAAACGCGGTCGCACGATAAATTGCTCCCGCGCATCGATTTGTCGCTTTTATTTTCCGCGTAGAGTTACACATGGCCTCCTTCGGAGCACAAACTTACGCCTCGCATAAGGAAAATCAATATGGTGTTGGTTACGTTTCCCTGGGAATTTACTACGTGAAACTCGGCAAAAGCTGTCTCCGTCAAACGGTCATCTTATTGTCTATCAAACAATCCGATGAACGTTCCAAATTGAAACGTTATACTAAGTCATTAACACTAGACTGCCAAAGAGACTCATTGTTCGAGACTCGAAGTTCAAGTATCATGCAAAATAAAAATTAAGAAATAGAAATAATTGCTTCTGTGCTAAATGTAATAAAAAAATCTGCGGAGAATGTATTTTAAGAACAGATTGTCTCCAATGATGTTTCTTTAAAATAAGATTTTATTTTTTTAAAAAACTTCAATTTTGATTTAAGTCGAGTTGACTAATGTCAGGCAAAATAGGTATAATCTAGTGTTAAATACATGAAACAATCGTAATGAGATGTTTTATAATAAATCATATAATAAAATTCTGTGTCTCAAAACTCATAACTGGAAGTCGAAGTATGACCGTCGATCAGGACGTCAGTTGATTTTATTGTTTTTACCACTCGGCGTGAAGCGATGTACAAACTCGTGAGATGCGGAGTGTCCATCGAAACGGGCAATTAGACACGTCGCCTCCGAGGGCTGGTTTCGCCCCCGCGGAAGTTACCGGCACCGATGTCGAGGGTTAATTCAAATTAGGTTCATTTAACGACTCGTTGTTGTCGCCTGGCTGCCGTATCGACGAAATTCGTCGTCCGTCGAAATATCCTCGGACAGAGAAGTGAGTCATTAAAATGCCGGATGAACGGTAGCACCGTTTTCGGCCGACCTAACGGCCAACGCAATTACGTAACAGCCGTTTGAAATTGTTAATGAGTCGCTCTCATTATCGCGCTCATTAAGGCTAGCTCTGACGAAAAAGAGAAATAAAGAGAGGAGGAACGTTGCCCTGAGACGTGAATCGATTCTAATTGAATCCAATTTAAATTACAAATTTAAACCGTCTCGGTGCCACGGGATTGTCTCTGGATTTTAGATAAGCGTAAGAACAGCATGAGGATCGTTTTGAAACTCGTAATTCGTTTTTACAGATGGACAGACGGTGCCGACGTTGTGCGAGCTCGCGGCGCGATGTGTCGCCTCGCATATACCGTTCGAGCTGGTGGAACACGTTTATCCGCCGGTGCCGGAACAGCTTCAGCTGAGGATAGCGTTTTGGAGCTTCCCGGACAACGAGGAAGACATCAGGCTGTACTCGTGTTTGGCAAACGGCAGCGCGGACGAATTTCAACGCGGCGAACACTTCTTTCGGTCGAGATGCGTCAAAGACCCGCTGCAAATCGGTAAGCGGATTTAAATCATACTTCGCGATAAATGCATTTTAATTCTGTAGTAAAGGTTGGAAAATGGCATGCGTCATTATAATTAAACACGGATCTGCTTTATTTTATTTTATTTTATTTTATGTTATTTTTATGCATTCATAAAAATGATCGAACAGGCAGAAAATATAAACGGAGCACCGGATGCATAAAAATATAAAAAATGAATGCGCATCGCGCTGGTTAAATAAGAGAAATTTTAATTTTAAATCCTGACGGCTATAAATATGTTTTATTTTTCATAAATCCATCTCCAGTTTATTTATAATATTTCATACATTCATTTATTAATGGTTTTTTATTGTTCGGATGATCAAATCGAGTCGAGGTATGAATGAAAGGGAAGTGTGCCTTTGCATGAATCTGTGAAATCGCGCGTATTTTATTTTGCTTCCTCGCGTCTGTCCACGACCGTCCGATACTACTGTCGCTCACCGCTGCGCGCCGCAGGCGAATCGAATTCAACTTTGCCTTATCCCGTCAGAATTTTCAGTCACATGATATTAATAGACGGTGGTTTTTTATGTAAAATAAAGCTTGTTTGTTGTCGCGTGAAAATACTGGAAATGGAACTATTAATGGAGATTCCTGTTACTGTTTGAACAGTGCAATGTGTACAGACGGCTTATTGGACTCTGAATCCATTTCGCACGCTTATGTAGAAAATGTGATCCGTTCTCTACTACTTTTATTACCTTCCGCATGTTCAGAGTTCAGTGAACCATCCTTATAAAATTTCTGATATTCCATGTATTGTCTGCACGAAATGCATAAAATCTGTGGCCCAATGACTTTTCAATTGCCTTTTAAATATTGACGAAACATAATGATCAATTTTAAAGCGACGTATGACTGTTTCTCGTCTGCTTTGTTTTTCTGACACTCTAATTCGAACGTCTAAAAAGGAAATTCCGCGACATTATTTTGAACGCGGGAACGTCAGGGTCGGATTTCCAATTACGTCTATCCCGTCTTGTTTCCCGTGCAAAGGGGAAGCCTCCCGGCTGGAAGGTACGTCGTTCGGGAACGAACTTCGTACAATGGCCCTTTTCGTCGGACGAATAAAGAAGCTGGTCAACTTTCAGACGCTTGAATCGCGATACCCAGTCTTCGTCCCACGCGCGCGAGAGTTATCAGTCTAATAACCAGCCGAGTTCAAACGCGAGGTTCTCTAAAAGTGTTTTCGTTAATCCCCTGCTATTTATCTTTCCACTCTCTCAGCCAATGGTTTCAGAGAAATATGTCTGTTACTTTGAATAAAATACTTTTTACTAAAGATTTTTATATAAAGGCAAACATTTATAGTTTGAGAAATGAGATATTAATGTTACTTCAAACGTAATATTCTTTGGATTTTTCGATGCATAAAATCTGCAGTCTAATTATAAAATTATAGTTTCTCTTCCGTTTAATGACGATGAATCTTAATTGGAATAAGGATATCAATCTAACGTTCTATTCGCAAACAGTAAAACGTCTCATTGTGAAGTCTCCAGTTGAACATTCGCGAGACGCAGAGAGCGAGGCTGTTGTTAGCGAAAATTTAATCCTTAATTTCATTGTTTGACCAAGCCGTTCCCGGCCGGTTAATTTCCTTGAGCTAATTTGCGCTGCGCTCCGGATACAAGTCGCCGTCTTCCTCCTTCGTTCTGCTATTCACGACCCGGGGCGTTGTTTCTTAGCCCGTCTCGAAATTACATTTTTATCCAACCTTCCCAAACGAGTAAATTCTGTCTAGGATGGATTTTTTATTCGAACGGTTGTGTTGCGAGCAGGATTTCACCTGAGCGCGACGGTGAACTCGCAGGGAGTGATGAACGGCGTCAGGTCACAGTTCAACGTCGCAGTCACGTTCGATCGACGGAAGATCACATCCTGCAACTGCACGTGCTCATCGAAGGCCTATTGGTGCGCTCACGTGGTCGCCGTTTGTCTTCATAGGATACACTTGGTAAACCCTCAACAAATTCCTTAAAGTAATCATGCTAAAAAATTTACTTATTTATACACTTTCAATAAGAATCATCATTTGAGCTGAACAAATATTTATTGATTTGATGAAAACTTTCTTTGCATTCACTGTAAGACAGTGGTCATTCTCGTATTTAGTCGAACTAAAATTCATTTTCCAAATTTCTATAATAAATAATAATTGATATTCTCTCTACAATTATTCACTAAATTTGTTAATGAAGTTTGCAATTGTAATCGAGCCAAGAACTCTAATCGTTGCGGTCGAGGGAGCATGTCTAACTCGTAGTATCCGTATTCAGCCGACACAGGTGTGCCTGAGAGCACCGGTTAGCGAGTCCCTGTCGCGCCTGCATCGGGAACAACTGCAGAAGTTCGCTCAGTATCTCATCAGCGAGCTGCCGCAACAGATTCTGCCGACTGCCCAACGTTTGTTGGACGAGTTGCTGTCGGTGCAACCAAGCACGATCAACAGCTACTGCGGAGCCCCGGATCCGACAGCAGGCGCCTCGGCACACGACCAGACGTCCTGGTACTTAGACGAGAAGACCCTGCACGACAACATCAAGAAGATCCTGATCAAGTTCTGCGTTCCCGCACCCATCGTCTTCAGGTGAATATCATTGACGCACAAGTTTCCTACTACGAGATATAAAAAATCTGCAGTAAAATGTATCTTACAATGAGATAATTTCTAAAATATATAATAAAATACATGTATCATTGAATGAAACTCTATAAGAGTTAATTTCTAATTTTCATAAATAATCTTGTTATACGATTTACTACGTCAATGAAATTCTTGTATCGATTATCTTTATAATTGCAGCGACGTTAATTACTTGAGTACCACTGCGCCTCCAGCAGCGGCCGAATGGTCCTCGCTGCTACGTCCACTACGAGGTCGCGAGCCGGAGGGCATGTGGAACTTGCTGTCGATCGTACGTGAGATGTTCAAGAGAACCGATCGCAACGCGATCCCTCTGTTGGAGATCATCACCGAGGAGTGCATGGCATGCGAGCAGATTCTCGTCTGGTGGTTCAACACGAAGGTCGCACTGTTGAACGGGACAGGATACGGTGGCAAGCATAACATGAACAGCAACGTGCACGCCTCGCAGCACGCGTGTTCGTCCCTTTGCGACGAGATCGTGGTCCTCTGGCGGTTGGCCGCATTGAACCCGGGGCTGTCGCCGTCCGAGCGGGAGATGTTGCATGGCCAGTTCACCGCTTGGCACATGAAGATCATCGACAAAGTGACGAAGACCCGCGGGAGTTCGGTCACGCACAACTCGCACAACAGGAACAACGGCAGCGGGCACAAAGACTCGTTAAAAAACGATCTGGCCGTGTTCACTGGGTTCAAGTCAGCGCTCGAGGCTTGTTACCTCGACTGGGAGGAATACACGCTGCCGGGCATTACGTACACAGCTGGCAGCAATCCGATGTACCATTGCCCGTTCACATGCTTCAGGCACGCGGGCGATACAAGAACCGAGGTGAATCAGGTGAATTCTAGCGCGGCTGTTTTGAACTGCCAACCGCCCTCGTCGATTTCCCATCACCACTGTCGACGTCCGCTGAGCTCCGGCCTGGTGGAGTTCAGTTACATGGACAGGCGACGATTAAACCCGCGAGAGTGTTCGGGACTGTGTTCGCGAGGCGGTGGCGGCGATGGAAACCGGAGCAGCGTCAGCTCCGAGGGTTTCTGCGAAAACGAGACCGACATGCCGGAAATCGCCGAGCGACCGATGGTACTGGTCAGAAGGTCTTGCGGTCAATTGAACGCGTGCGGGGATACGGATTCACAAGAAGGCGGGGGCAGCGAGTCCTCGTCGAACAGTAACGAAAGTCTGAAGAACGCTCAAGAATCGGACAAGCATCGCTCAAACGCCTCGTCCGAAACCCATAGTGATAGTAGTGATAGTAGTAATAACAAGGCTAGCGAAGCGAAATGCAGCAGGACGAATCTCGACTACCGGGAAAAGGCGAGAACGGTAATGCCGAAGGTGAGCAGCTCGAAGAGCGAGCAGGAGAGTGACCAGGAGAAGGATGCCTCCAGGAGGCCGTCTAAGGACGAGAGCTCGTCGTCGAGCAGCGACAGCCCGTCTGGCGACGAGTACCACGTTTATTATTATGATCCGAAGGCTGTTGTGAACGCGAACGGCACCGCGAGCAAAGACTCTAAGAACGAGCCGCAATCCTCGTCCACCGTCAATGCAAGTACGGTCCTGGGCAACTTGATGAAAACCGAGGATCCTTGGGACATACTGTTCGCCAGGGCGGAAGGACTCTACGCCCATGGGCACACCAGAGAAGCTTGCATCCTCGGCGTTCAACTCGCCGAAGAGCTGCTGGCGAACCCGCCGAATCTTATGATCGACGAGCCTCCGGTGCCGGTTAAGGGGAAAAAGAAGAAGGTAGATTCATTGGAAAGACTTGGTTTCGTTTGTTCGAAATTCAGTAAGGCCCTGTTCCAATCTGTCAAAACCTCCGCCGAACGTAACCGAATACAACGACGATGTTTCAGCAACAAGTGAACCCGGCTTCCCATCAGCTCACGTGCCTTGCCTCGGCGACGTTGGCCAAGTGTTGCTTTCTGTGCACGGTGCTCGCCGAGAATCCGGAATACTACAACCTGGCGTTCAGGGTCGGACTGTTCGGATTGGAGATGGCCAGGCCGCCGGCTAACACGAAACCCCTTGAAGTAGGCTTGCGCATAATCGAGACCGAAGGATTTGTTAAAATTCGATCATTATTTCAGGTGAAATTAGCTCATCAGGAAAGTGAACTAGTAGGATTGTTGAAGAAAATTCCACTTGGACCTTTGGAATTGGCGATGGTTCAACAGAGAGCCGAACAGTTGAAGGACGGGCTGCTCAGATCCAGGGGTCACGCGCTGCTTCCCATAATGCTGGCCAGTTTCATATTCGACGCGCTCAATACCTCAAGTACGAGTCTTATTCCTAAAATTCTTAATTCTTTTTTGACTATTTGAAAGAGTAAAATGAGAGTGTCGCGTGCAGCGTTCGAATCGAAGACGAACGAGATCTCCTTTCAGACAAGAAAGAGTTACTGTTTGAGATAGGGTAGACGGAGGGATAAAAGATTGTGGAATGATTCGCAGGACTAAAACACCTGTCCCCAGACGTTGACGAGAACCTGGGTTTCGACGCGGCCGTTGCTGCCCTCGGCTTGAAGGCGAACGTCTGCGAGGCCGATCATCCTCTGCTCTGCGAGGGAACCAGACGTCAGAGGTATCTACCGCGATAATAATACAAACAGTTCATCCGTTTCACTTGAACTCTACTAAATCCGATTTTCAGAGGAGATTTGGCCATCACTCTACTCGTCCACTACAAGGACGAATCCACAAAAGTGGCCAGGATAATGGACAAACTGTTAGATCGGGACGTTCATCAATTGATCAAGTCGCCAATCCTCAGCAGCTACTACACCTCCAATCCTCCGACCAACAGCGATGTAAAAATTCATAACACTAGCGACGCATTCTTGCCTAATAGAAACAGTTGACAAAATGAGCGAATCATGTTTCAGATGACGAGATACCATCATGACGAAGAGTGCTCATCTCCTCTTGCCGGGACGGATGCTGGCAATGGTGACAGCGTTGTCGGTACCAGCAGCAGGCCTCATAGTAGCACGAGCGCCGAGCTGGAGACTGGAATGAGTACGCTCACGGTTCAGCCTCAGATCGTTCAACAACCTGTACCTACTAGAACCAAGGAAACAAGGTCGGTAGTATTTCCTTTAGTGCTAGACCGACTCGCGATCAAATTTTTTCACATTATATAGATTGAGAACAATGCAAGAACTAATGGATAAAGTTCTATAAAATTCTGTTCTAGATATAAGAGCAAGAAGATGTCTCCGTCGATTCCTAATCAGCCTTCTGAAGCGGGTGCCCACTTTATGTGCGAGTTGGCGAAGACCGTTCTCGCGAAGGCCGGTGGGAACAGCTCCACCTCCTTATTCACGCAAGCGTCCACGAGTCAGAATCACCACGGGCCTCACAGGGCCCTGCACATGTGTGCGTTCCAGCTCGGTCTCTATGCCCTGGGACTTCATAATTGCGTTACTCCCAACTGGCTGAGCCGCACTTACTCGAGCCACGTATCTTGGATAACCGGTCAGGCGATGGAGATCGGAGCGCCTGCCATTTGGTTTCTCATCGAGAGCTGGGAGGGGCACTTAACACCGCCAGAAGCTGTTGGCATTGCCGACAAATCGTCCAGGGGAAGTGACCCCAACATGGTTCGAGCTGCGGCAGAACTTGCCTTGTCCTGCTTGCCGCACGCCCACGCTCTCAACCCCAACGAAGTGCAGCGCGCCATTCTACAGGTAATTTCAGGTTTAATTAATCCACGCGGATGGTAGACGAATTATATTTTAAAATGCATGATTTTGTTGCAGTGTAAGGAACAGAGCGATCTGATGTTGGAAAAAGCTTGTATCACGGTCGAGAACACCGCGAAAGGAGGCGGCGTTTATCCAGAAGTCTTGTTCCAAGTAGCCAAATATTGGTATGAGCTGTACCTCAGGGTAAGTATAATTTAGTAGGAGAATGATACGAGAGAGAGATCAAATTGATGTTTAATTATTTAGCAAACTCCTGGAGGTGAGAGTCTGGACGACATGCCACATAATCCTTTGGAAATAGATTTGAATGGAGTGCTGCTCGTAGAATCCGGACCTCCGGTGGATATGACCAGCGGACAAATGATGCCTGGTCCAACTCAGGCGGTCGTCGTAACCAGCACGCAACCACCGCCTCAACCATATCCGACGCATCCAACTATAACTACTTTAGCACCTTTGGGTACGTTCTCTGTTCTGATTACAAAATCAACCTTTGCTCCTAGATTATTACAAGTTCTAATCGCTATGTTCGATTCCAGGTGTTCCGGGTATGCCGTACGCAGTCGGTCCGTACAGCTTCGTGCACCCACACCACTCAATCCCGACGTTCGGTGGTCCGATGCCATCTCACAGGGTGGCTCTGCCACCAGCACCGCCGCACATGCAGATGTATCATGCGGCTTTCCCACCTCATCCGGGCCACCCACAGCATCCCCAGCACCCACAGCACCCTCAGCACCCGCAACACCCACAGCATCCTCAACATCCTCACCATCCCGCGCAGCCGGCACAACCGCCGGCGATGCCGCAATACTACGCGCCCCAGCCGCCGTCGTCCCCGGGAACTCATCATTTGTTCACCATGCAGCAACCTATGCCAGTCAATGTAAGTACCTCGTTACGATTTTTGGTTTCAGATCGAATAGAGCAACGTTTGAACGAACTGTGATCGTGTTTCAGGTCCAAGCAGGAGTAGCTGGGCCGATTCCCGGACAGAACAACATGCCCGGCACCGCGATGGTTCAGCCGCAGCCTATAATACAGCCTACGGTTCGAAATCAGCCACAGGTAATAATTAGCCGACATTTTCATTATTTAATTAATTATCCGAAGATATGGTGTTTTAAATTTATTTTGGAATGCAGGTACACAGGCAAACGCAGCCGTTCAGCCAGCAGCAGCTTCGAGCCCTGGTCGCGGCGTACCGCGTTGGTATGTTAGCATTGGAGACTCTAGCGCGCCGCGTACACGACGACAGACCTCAAGCAAAGTACGCGCGAAATCCTCCGTATGGGGAAGACGTTAAATGGTTATTGAGGGTATCTAAACGTCTCGGCACTCAGTATCTGCACCAGCTTTGTATCTGCACGGTGAACAGCATCGTCAGTCCGTTCGTCCTTCACGACGTCGCTCTCGAAGCTGCGCTTTATCTCGCCAGGAACAATCCGTCTCTTGTTCTTCAACATTTAAGATCCGCCTTCCTGGCGCCTCTCGTCCACAAGTGTCAACAAATGTTAGTTGCTCATTTTTGTGCTTAGTTTTTCTTAAAATGAATGTTAATAAATAATACGATGGTCATTATAAATTGCAGGTACATTCAATGCTTGCATCAAAAATTATACCACTTGACGGCAGGGGAATACGAAGACTTCGTTAATGTCGTTTGCGTAGCTAGGGCAGCGTTCCACATCACTCCGGAAGGTCACGTTCAGTTTAAGGAACGACTACAATCTATTAAGAGGTACGTTTGCTTTGTACAGTCGAGTACTATTGAATCATAAGGGATAAAGTGTTGATTTCGATCGGAAAGTCACTTCTCCCAATTTTTACATGAATAGACATAAACAGATAAAAATGTTTGTTTGCGTAGATCTCAATCGTGTACCAAAGAACTGTGGGCGCAGATAAACGCGGCTCTCCAGCAGAACGGCAAATGACACAGAGCGGAGCCAGACGTGACGTGGCTCACCTCCCTTCCCCATCCTTTACCTCCCCCTCCCAATCCTATGCAGACTCCACCTGCGATAACGACAAGCCTACTGATGCAGCACCAGCACCAGCACCAGCACCAGCATCAGCATCAGCATCCACCCTGTCATCCCCATCCACAGAGCACCGTATGCGTTCACGGGCTGGCTACCCACGACAAGCTGGAACGGGATCTTCACGGCGGCCACCGACGACGTCCGTCGATTTTCAACAAGTGTCGGAGGACCATGAAACCCAGGCGCGGCCGATAATCGCTCTTCATCCTCGCTTATTTCTTCGCGAACGAACAGCGACACCGACTCTGTTCGGCGACGGATCGATGATAATTTTCACCGTCTCCGCTACCGTTTCTTCGCGAAGAAAAACGAAGGATTCGATCCCACGGTCGATCGGGAATAATAATGATAACTTTCTGACTTTAGTTAATGTGTCTGAACGCGAGGAAGAGCGAGAGGAATTCTAGAGAGAACGAGCGAGCGAGCGAGAGAACGAGAGCATGTCGACTATAATTTTAATTAAGGATACGATTTACGTGCGTGAACGACGAAGAGGGACGCCAGGTTTTGCAGTTGAAACACTGTCACCGACCTTTCCCTGGAAGATCGAAGAACGATTCCCGTGTAATGTAACGAGACACAAGTTGTTAGTATGCATCTTCTTGTGTAAAAGCGCCATTCTTCTCCTACGTTTCAGAGAATAAATGAAAACGAGAACAGTGAATGATGTAGCAAATACACGAGAAAGAGTACGGGAAAGAAAATTATTATAAGAGATAATGACACGCGATACACGTTGCATCGATGGATCCGTTAATCGAAATTTTAGGTTTCACACGAACGCGAGCGATCTCGCCAATGACAAGGGGACGACGAATTCCATTCGAAGGATTTCTATCGTTGCTTCGAACAATCTCTGAAACCTCTTTGTTTTATTTTAGTTAAGGATCGATCAACGTCTTTAGCCAGCAATTAGGTAGGAAATTTTTATTTTTCAATCGTATTATAGATAGGATCAATTGTTCTCGCGTCTTATTTTATTTTTGTAAAACGAGAAATAAGCAAATTTTTATGGTGAATCGATAATAAAAAGAAACTCATCACGTCTATTTATATCGACGGAGACGACGAACGAGGTCAGATTAACGTTTTAGAAGTGCGATGAATTTTACTTATATTACTTAAGAGAAGAGAAAACAGAAAAACGGAAGTAGGAGTACGAGAAATGAATTTGACGAGAAAGAAATTTTTTTAGGATCGACGATTTTTACTTTTCATATAAACAGCTACCGACCTTGTCCGACCATTACCACCAGCATCACCGCAAAACCGATCTCCCAATTCGATTATTGTTTCCCCTCGACTTTCGTTTGCTACCGATTATATGTTTCAGTTCTCTGACCGAACTTTCATTCTGTTCATTTTTATTAAATATATCATAGACGTATACTACACACGTTCGCAACCATATTCTCGTTTCTTTGTCATCACTGACAATCCATAAACGAAGGTAAATGATCTCTGTAATTTTTAAATTAAAATAATTTCAAATATAAATAAAGCAAAATTATAGCTGACGACACCGACGACTCCGAACTTCTCACCTTTCCACAATGCGTTCAATCACAGAAATTACAAAACCAATGACTAACAAACGGATCTTCTTATTTATTTAAGATACTTTCAGTTTTATTTCAAACACCCTTCACATTTATTTGCTTTCGCGCTGTGCTTTTATTTCTTCACCATATAAATTCGAACATTAACGACGAGCCGTTTTTCCTGCACCATTAATTTTGCTGAAGCGTCTGAGTAGAAAGCGACGGAATACGAAAGACGTTACTTCAAAGGGAGAAATGACAGTAGATATGGCACTGCCACTAATTAACAATACCGCGATGGTGGTTACGTGAAAAGAGCAAGCAATATCTCATCTGTAGCACGAAGTCCGTATACGGGGTAATCCTGATTCCATTTCCGGTTTCTTAATTCCAGGAAGATCTCGCCCCGTATGTACATATATGTATAAATAAAAAAAAAAAATACGATCACGGTGAGCCAGAATTCTAGATAGTATAAACTGGTTCACGAGCTGCGTGTTGTTGTTCTAAGCTCATTTCTGCGTGTGTGCGCGTTAAGACACTGGTTAAAATGTTTGCTGTTATCGAGAGAACATCCCCTTGGCCAGGTTTTGCAATCAATTTCCTAACTCCAGTCACCTGTGTCCCGAGAATGATAATCGAGTTCTAACAAACAGACTGCGGATCTTATGCATAAAATATAAAGAATTGTTTACCACATATAAAATATTGAAAGGTGAGTGCACAATGTTTAAATGATGAAAGAAACGTCTATCTAAAATGCACGTTTTAAAACGATATTAATTTTTCATAAGAATCCGCAGTCCGTTAAGAAACAGATTTGAAGGTAAGGGAAATTGTACTCAAGGCAGCGAACACGTTAATGTCGATTACCTATTAAGCGTAGAATCTCACTAGCCTACTTAGAGTTTAGATTAAAAAAAAAAAAGAATAGCCCGTTTAAACGGTTCCATTTTTCATGGTAGATGGATAGCGAAACGAGTTGTTCAGTGTCCGGCAACAATTCGAGGCTCGTTTGTAAAAGACGGAGAAGGAAAATACCAAAAGAAAAGAAAAAGAAAAAAAAAAAAAACGAAATCGAACGTAGAACAGCTAGAATCCCCTTCGACCCGCTCCAACTGCTGCGACGTTTCTTCGAGCGAAACTTGAACAAAATTAACGTAGACTCCTTTCGTCCACTGTAAATGCCGACTCCGATTTCCTTTTTCCACCGTTCCTTTGTCATTTCTCACTTGGGAAATAGATCACGTCCCCGTTTCACCGGAAAGGAATTTTAGGTACTCATCTTTCAGTTTTAGGCGAAATGAAGGAAAAAGAAATATACCAGGAGGCGATAAAGTATATATTTTTACACTTGATCGAAAAACGTGAAAGAAATTTTCGAAAATAAAAAGAATAGAAGAAGATAAAAGGGAAAGTTTCCTCTCGATAGAAACTGATTGTTCTCCGTGAACCGATCTTCTACGAACGAAAAGCTACACTTATTCGTAGAGTTAGAACGAAACGGAGGCGCAGGATAGAAAAGAAATCTTCGATGTCTGTAAATAATCGCGGTAATCGCCGTAGTCGCGGCTTTAGCTTCCGCGATGCTCGAGTCACGCCAGCTTCGTAGAAAGGCGAGGGTCCGAAGAGTCGCCAGGGACTCGGTTTTCTGTAGGCCAACGGAGATTGATTCGCTCAATAACTATGTAATTGTATATATACGTCTACTCAAAGAAAATGCAAGCTGAAGAAACGCATACAGTTAATAGATAGGACAGTCAGGATCTTCTTCTCTGAGGACACGTAATGAGGCAGGCGAGGACCAAGATCGGTGGTTCAACGATCTTCGTCTGCGTCGGATGGTCAATAAAATGAATTCGATGAATTAGAATGAATATGGACGAAGAAAGAAAGGGCTTCTACGTTCTTTACGGCGTTTAGGCTCATTAGCAACATTCTGTGTTCAATCGGAAGAGATAGATTAGCAAGGGCACTGGTCAGGTTTTCGGGAACGCGTTCTTAGCGATAGCTGCCTCTCGAGCGAAGAGACGCGAGGACAAGCGCTGGACCCGATAAACGGCATCGATCATTCCATTGAATCTGTCGCGAGTGTGAAAAACTATGCTCTTCGCTGTTGATCAGATTCCATGATAAATATAATATAGTGTTCATATTCTATTTGTAAAACATTCTTGTGACTTGCATTCACTCGGGCGAGGAAAAGAAGAGAAATTTTACATCGCGCGGAGGCGCGCGTCGTTTTCCCCCAATCCACGTACGAGGTGATTAAGAGGGAGCGCTCGAGATCGATCGATCGACGCTACCTCGAGAAATTAATTGTCCTCTTTCTTTTTTAAACAGGGATACAATTCTACGAGGCAAGTCATTTAGTTTCGCTGTACTTGATTAAACGTAGATAATCGATATATTATAATGTCTACTGTCAAAATAAATTTCGATTTCTAATTGCGTCCTTCGTCTGTTATCTTTCTATTGTATCGATCCACACTGAAATACAATCTCTGATTTCACAAGTTAATCTCCGGTTCTCTTCCCTGACCAACCAAGCAGCTCAATCGACCTTTGCACACTTTTATTTCAATACGCAAACGAGCGTATTATAATTTATTATACTTACGTTACAAATTCGTATATGTTCAAATATATGATACTAAATTTTGTTATAGACATTGAGTTATATAAAATATCTGGAGTGTGCGTGCGGCTGTCAAAAGTCGTAAGATAGAAGAGTAGCGATGATGCTCCAAGAAGCGAGAAGCTATGGGGGATCTCTGTCCTTGTTTTTATATTCTCTCTCTCTCTATTTGTATTATCTTGTAGTAAATTTAACTATGGTGGGGATAGAAGTTCAGTATTCTATCGAATCACTTGAATTTATAACATTGTCAATCACTCGACATATACGCGTCCGAGTTCAGGTTCAGAAAACATGCATTATACACCTAAAAAGAGAAAGAGATTCCTTCACGGTTCCTCTTCGTCGGCAAACGTACCCCCCCCATTCGTTCACACTCCAGATGTTTTATATAGCTCAATGGTTATAGACCTGGAGATTTGAATATGGAATATAACGCACACCTTATTAGTCTATAGATAACCCAAGTGAACACAGTAGCAGTCGTGGCCGAGTGGTTAAGGCGTCTGACTAGAAATCAGATTCCCTCTGGGAGCGTAGGTTCGAGTCCTACCGACTGCGAAGTCTGTGGTATAAATTTTATTTTTATTTCCTCAATCACGATGTTTTACTTCAAATTTTTAGACTTCGTACATTACGTTTTTGTTTTATCCATTCGCGAGCAAGATCTCGAGTTGATAACTAACAATCCTCGCGCGTTATCAATCAATTGAGCTGTTATTGAAAGATTGTAGCGTGATGTAACATGATGACACAATCTTCTTCCCGTAACGATTCGTATAATTTTAGAAGCAGATCTTAAAATAAATTCAAACCGGAAGTTAGTTTCTTATAACGAGTTTCTTTTACCGTTTGTTCTATCTGCGAATAAAAATTTCGCAAACATTCGTTCGTTCTTTTTGAGATAAGTAGACATTGAACGGTTGTTGATCATCGAGAACGGATTCGTTTCCCGTTTGCAACTTTGTGAAACGTGTTATCAACGAGTGAGATGCGCCTGGCACGATCTATGACGCAAACAAGACTTATATTCTCGTTGCACACCGTTTAGCCAATAGAGCCGTGCAAAACAATTTGCAATTTGCATACGACTCGTGGATGAAGCACGAGACGACTATTTGTTAACTAGCACCTCTGCCACGGTTTCGGGGATTCTGAAAAACCCACTTTTTTAGTGGGTATCTACATAAGAAGAGAAACGTGTCCTCGGAATTTCATGTTTCTAAGATCACTGGTTGAGATTAGGCGTTGCTGTAATAAATCAATTATGACATGTGTCATAATACATGTGTAAGTCAGTTAAAACGTTTTATTGGCAAATAATACTCCTAATGTTTGCAAATGGATGTATCATTCTCGTCTAATCATGACTTGACATTATCGTTGAGTACATAGTAAATGTTTTGTTCACATTGTATTTCTACTCTGGCTTACACTGGCTTCAGATTGCATATAAAATTATAGAAAAAAATGGCAGTGAGTCGAAATCGTGACGTGAATTGGAACATTTACTACAATAGATCGCAATTTGACGGTCGAGTAACGTAACAATATCCGTGCTGGATAAATCAGTGTGACATTCAAGCTTGTTTATGACTCTCACATCAGTCTGTAGAACTGAGCAAACCGCAAGAAATCAGAGTTAATTCTTGTTTCAACAGTTTTAGCAACAATGAATATTCTATTACGTACAGCAAGGAACAATTCATTCCAACACATTCCAAGAAATTATGTTTTAAGACATGATTATAAGTTATACCAATTATTTTAATAATTAATTGAGTATTGATTATAATATTCTAAATGCACGTTTCCAGTTTTATTATGCAATTTCGATCGTATCCATTTTGGTGCGATTGATTAACAGAGAAGACGTATCCGATACAGTAATCTGTGTTTCTATTCTTGCCCTATTTTTTATATCTATCGACGTACGGAAGACACTTATGTACCAGAGTGATAATAAGTGTCAACGNGGACGACGAGATCTACAATTTCTGTATAAAAGTTTCTTGCTAGCGTCAATAGTTTACGAGTAATTTGCAAAAAACTGTTTTTTCGTTTTTCGTCAATAACTCGTTAAATATTAATGCTAGCGAAGAATTTTTATACAGAAATTGTAGATCTCGTCGTCCCCTACAAAATGGTCCTATACATGCCCTCCTACGTCTATCCGTTCGGGAGTTATTGACAAAAAACGAAATTTTTTGCTAAAAGTTCACTGTTTCGACGCTGGGATGGTCAGATTTTGTCAACATCAATAAAATGCCAAATAATCATATGTAACTTGTTAAATATCGAAGTTAGAAGAAAAATTCATAGAATCTTTCTTGTTGAGGACGTCAATGTCTACAACTTCAGTATAAAAATTTTCTTGCTGGCATCAATAATTACTAAATAAAATCGTTAATTGCCAAAATGTTTTCTTTAACCATAATGGTTGAAAATGTTTCAGAGAAAAGTCGTAAAGGTCCTATGCATCTTTTTTAACTCCACTCGTTAAGAAATAATTGGCGATGAATAAAATAATTAATCGATTAATCCTGAAGTATTCGAGATAGAAGAAAATTGTATTCGACCTTTCTTTTATCATTTTTTGTGGCCCTCATTCGTTGTCCCGATGATTACACGGGCGCTGCCACTCTTCAGTAGTATTTCCTCGATAGAATAATTCTTCAGCGAGATAAGCATTCCATATTTTCCTCATTGCAAATGTGATTAACCATTGCGTTCCATTAACCCGGGAGGCGTGGCTGATTATTTAATGATGATTCAACGACGTGATCTATGACGAAGAATGCTGGAAATATTCGCTCGAATTCCTCTTCTCGAACAAAGTCGCGATTCAAGGCATGTCCATCCGCTATTCCAACATCAATTATCACCAAACAGATAATGTCCTGTTGAAAGCTATAAATATTTCAATGGAGCGTGTTATCATTTATGCTTGTAAAACAATGCCTCGATACGATAGTTCGATCAATACGATTTCTTTTTCCGCTTCCGCTGGAATATACTGGATTTTATTTACAATCGACAATAATTGGAGACTGGTCTCGACGGTTACCACCGGATCGCCAACTGATACTAGTTATCACGTGAGTATCACTATCATCCACGTGTGGCACGTGTCGATCGGAAGAAATACGCACAAAGGCTCGCGAGACGTAACGTCATTGTTTGCGTTCCTTGACGTAGACTCTTAACAAAAACTGATCTATGGATTTTGATCTTTCGATCTCGAATAAAAATCTGACCTTTAAGAAATGCAGCAGTACAACTTTCACACTACGTATAACTTTTTATTCAAGGTTCGTAAGATTTATGCTGAATGGATTTTTTATTTCGTCTACCAGCGTTCAGAGGAGACGGGGCATTTATTCAGTGACGATTACGTCAATCGAATCTCGATTATAATTATAACTAGAGATTCTTAATTTAGTGTTCATTCATAAATCATTTTTCTCGTTATTTAAAAATCTGTTTTGGTTATTGAACGGAGATAAGGACGCGGCTAACGAGTACGTCAACAAGTGCGCAGATGGAAAATTTCCGACGGTTCAATCAACTTTGACTTTTGAAGAGTCAAAAGCAAGACAACTTTATCGTAGAAAATATTTGAATTTTTCTGGTCTCGCTTTATCTTACAATATACACGTGCGAAATAATCGTGAGGAACGATAACGACGAATTGGGTCAGAAAATTTTCCGCTGCAAGCTTTCGATGAAAAAAGAAAATCTGGCCTCAGCAAAGAACAATACGTAAAAAGAGAGACGACACGTACGAATCACGTCTGTGTCAGTCACGATGCTAATGTCGAGCAATTATCATACGCGAGGCCGCTTTGCGTGAAACTATCAATAGCAAGGTTTAACTTTTAAAAAACTTTATATACAATTTATGGTCTTTTTCCATTACAAAATAACAGATCGTGTAAACCGACTTTGTTTGCTACCAGAATTTGATAAACTTATCTGATTGCACAGCTAATCTTGGCACAAATGTTTTTGCATTTAGATGAAGACTTCTCGTAATCGAAAACATATAATAATAGATCAAGTGCTAACAACATAAAGTTAGATAATAATTGAACTGTTTTAATAATTATTACGTACAGATAATTTTACATGATTGTGACGATATACTGTGAGCGCTTAATGTGAGATAATAATGATAACAAGACCCCTATTATTTGCATTGATGATTGTAACTCCCTGGCGTTTTATATTCTAATGGACTACAATTATCCTATTCGCAATAATCACGGTTGGAATATTAATACATGTACTTTGTTGCAACGAACGACGGAAAATTGCGTCTCTATTTTTCAAGGCCGTGCCAGATTGTTTCTGTTTAATATTTCCACGTGGCATTTTGCAGCACGTGGAATTGTTAATTTTGTTATGAGCTCGCCTTTGAATGATCGTTAATTTTTATTTATCATTGCCACGTCGCTCGTCTTCAGGGTCAGCGCAATCGTTTCTATTTCAGTTTCCCATTGCATAATTCTTCGCTTTATTTCTGGCACAATTTCGTTCCAACTTTGTTTCGTTCACGTTTCGAGGATGAAGCGATTCGATTTAAATATTTTCATTGAAGAGAAATTCATTGAAAGAGAAACAGTATTTCCTGTTTCTTTCAAGTTTCCTCGATAAGACGAGCACCTGAAAATTCTCTCCTCGTCTGAATCACCCACTCTCTCATTGTTCATCCAAGAATAACGCGTGAACGTGTAGGAGGAGGCATTAAAAATATAGAATAAAGAAGTGGGAAAAAGTATTGTCGATCAATCGGGATCTCGAGCCGAAGTGGAATCGCGCGAAATTGAGGAGGGGGCGAAGAGGACAAATGCGCGCGCACTCGCGAGGCACTCTATATATGACGTCACTGGAATAGGTCGCGAAACACTCATCTGACGACTGCATTCAGAAGTCGAGGAACCGTGACTTCACGCCCGTGACACACACCGCGATTACCGCACGCACGAGACTTCAGGTACGAGATCACGTTCACAGCCTCTGCCTATCTTATCCGGAAGCTCGTCAGCGTCTATACTTTCCTTATAGTTCATCTCTATCAATTTTTTTATAATAACAATAAATTAACAAATATGGTGATAACAAATTTTTATTATAGATGTAATATTTAATCTTTGATTAAGAAATTTATAATTATTAGTTCATAGTTCAATTTTTTATCTGCTTTATTTTAGAAGCAATCAGATTGAAGTTAATAGAGAATAAATTAAACAAAATTCTTCGTCAAGAGTATTTCAAATAAAGATAACAATAATTGCAAGATAGATAAACTTATTATTGGTTCCTTTATTGGAGGAGAAAAAGAATTGACAGGATCATATTATTTTTTCACTTGCTTTTTTAAAAACCGAATTTACTACAATATCCAGAATACGTATTATTAATCTTAAAGCAAATACTATATTTTTCGCCAAGAACGTTTCGGATCACTCTTCGTAGATAAGAGTCTTATCAATTTTTACAAATCTTCGGGTATCATCTAAAATGTGCTTTTATCTTTCGAAACAGAATTTCACAATGTAACTAAATTAAGAATTAAATACTGTAGATATTTCGAAACAGTGTAACAATTTATTTTTTCTCTCTCTTGGTTTGGTCGTTGATCAATTATCGTAATCTGTTTTCTATAAAAATGTTTATTAGACTAAAAATATAAAATTAAGCAGAACATGAAAAGCTGAATGCAAATTGCAACACATAAATGATACACTTTTTTTTAAAACTCTTTTTATTATTTTATATCGAACTCCGCAGTTTAGTCATTGTTCAACTGGAGTTTCATGGCAATTAATAATGTAGACACGCTGTTTGCCATAATTTATCTCTATGGCGGAGAGAACGCATGGCTGTACTACTTGCACGTAGTAGTCACGTGCACTTATCAGCCAATGGAAAATTACTTAACTCATGGTGAAACGTTTGATATCCGCAATAATATCATACGTTTCCAGTATATTCTCGCGTTCCCATAAATCAAGAAATAAATCCCACTTGCAAATTCTACATCCAGGCTTTCTATGGAAATTAACATAAAAATCCTTGAATTTTATCAGGTCTTAATTGATAATCGTTATCGAAGATGGCTGAATCTTTGGAGCAGATGCCAAAGTCGGAGACGATTCGACTTCGAGAGCGTTACATCGGGTAAATACTAAAATACTCGGTCTTAAATCGACGGATTTCGACGTAGGATTTATTTTACAGACAAGCTTGCAAATTGTTTTACAAATCGAACCCGTTGAAAATAGTACGAGCCGAGAAACAGTACATGTACGACGAGAAAGGCAACGAATACTTGGATTGTATAAACAACGTCGCTCATGGTAAAGCAAGAACCAGTTAAAAAGATCAATTTTACTTAGAATCTGGAGTGAACGAATGAATTTACAGTGGGTCATTGTCATCCGACGGTGGTGCGCGCGGGCCAGCAGCAAATGGCACTGTTATCTACCAACAACCGTTTCCTGCACGACGATTTGGTGATCTGCGCGCGTCGTTTGACCTCCATGCTTCCGGAACCGCTCTCGATCTGTTTCCTGGTGAACTCTGGCAGCGAGGCCAACGATCTCGCTCTTCGTCTCGCTCAGACTCACACTAAGAACAAAGACATCATCACTCTGGACCAGTAAGTAACATTCTCACCGAGAGTCACTGCTTTTTTGGCTTTTTAAACGTGCCTGAAAAAAGAAACAAGCTCTCTATTTCTCCCTCTCGCGAACGATTTTCCAGGTAGCCTCCCTTTTCCCTTTCGTCGCAGGCAAAATTCAGTGAGTAGCCATTAACGAACGGAGACGACGATTATTTCAGGCTATGACGATTTCTCTGCCAGATTCCCGATTCGACAGCTGACTAATAGCTTGGGTTTTCTTTTTTGCTTGTTTGCAGCGTTATCGACGAACATGGAAGACAGAAGCATCTGACGAACAAGTCGAAGTCGTGATCAGTGAAAAACACACCGTCGCCACATAAAGCAATTGTCGTTTTAGGTGACACTTAGGTGCCACACGACAAGCGAAGGAAGTACCAACGGAGGAGAGATCAAAGTAATTTTATATCTTATAATAGAGATGATTCAAAGCGGACGACGACGTCGGGGCTACGTCGAGATTTCTTTTCGTTTTTAATTTTTTTCCCCGGCGACGGTCGATGCGACCACGAAGAGGATAGAATGACATTTTCAGGACCGCCGGAAAGAGAAAGGACGCTGCTTGATCGCAGCACCGTTGCACGGGAACGGTGCTTAGAGTTAGAGGTAGATATAACAGTTGATAGAACAACGTTGTTCTTTCTTGATTTTAGTGCTTATCACGGCCATTTGACCTCGATGATCGATATATCGCCGTACAAGTTCAATAAGCCGAACGGACCTGGCAAGAAGGACTGGGTTCACGTGGTAAGGAACCTCTCAAGTCTTAAAAATCAATATGCACGTGTTATGACATTAAAATAGTAGATTGTGTACCTAGGGCGCAAAATAGGGCATTCTAGCACTGGCACGAGTGTGAATTTCGCCCTCGCTTCGCTCGGACGACAAATTCACACGAGTGACAGAATGCCCTTTGGGCCCGTGGTGCACATACTATTTTTTTTGACACTCCGGGCGCGAAATTCGGTTTCTCGTGCATGTTTAGCGGGCGCAAAATAGCACATTCCCGCCCTAGGGCGGAAAATGGTTCCGTACCAGTACAGTGTAGGATAAGATGGTAAGACATTGTACGAGTATGGTAAATGCCAGCCGGAAACGCGAAGAACTTTGTAAGGTATACGGGCAGCCCGATAACGACGGCAACGTCTAAAAATCTCGAGACGTGCTGCGTTTCGGGAACATTTTAAAACAGTACAGCTCTGGACGTGGAAGAAGCTGGTCGCGACCCGATCAAATATATATCTTTAATATACTAACGCAGTGTCGGTCATTTTACCGTGCAACACGCTGTTTGGTCGATTTGCTTGATATTATACTTTTTTCGTATGTCGGTATGTGAAAATATACTATTATTTNTTGAAACGGAGAATTTCTTTCACTCTTGTTATATAATTTCTTTATATCAAATCTGCAGTCTGTTCGTTACATAGTAACCATATTAATGATAATTAATTTACTCTTGTTATATAATTTCTTTATATCAAATCTGCAGTCTGTTCGTTACATAGTAACCATATTAATGATAATTAAATATTGGATTATAGGCACGTCAGAGAAGCTGGAGGTGTTTGTATTGCTGACGAGGTTCAGGTCGGTTTTGGAAGGGTCGGCAGCCACGCGTGGGCCTTTCAACTATATGGCGAGGACGTGGTTCCGGACATAGTCACCGTGGGAAAGCCCATGGGCAATGGGCACCCCGTGGCAGCGGTCATTACGACCCCTGCGATTGCTGGCAGTTTCAAAGACACCGGGATAGAATATTTCAACACGGTAAGAGAAAATAGACTTCTAGTCTTCCATTACAATGTTTAAATTTCATGCATTTATAATAAATAAAAAAATATATTCAACATCTGGGAAATATGAAATAAATGAATAAAATTTTATTGTATTTTTTTATTGAAAGCAAAACTCACCCGTTTTTTCAGTACGGAGGGAATCCAGTGTCCTGCGCCATAGCTAACGCCGTGATGGAGGTGATGGAACGAGAGAATCTTCAACAGAATGCGGACGAAGTCGGCAAGCATTTAATGGCGGAGCTGAAGAAGTTGGCCTCGCGACGGAAGATCGTCGGCGACGTCCGCGGCGTTGGATTGTTCGCAGGGATCGAATTAGTGCTCGACAGGGTGAAGAGGACTCCTGCGACTGCGGAAGCGAAGTATGTGGTCTCCAGGATGAAGGACAGGAAGATACTGATAAGTAGCGACGGTCCGGACGACAATATTCTGAAAGTGAAGCCACCGATGGTGTTCACCATCGAGAACGTGAACGATTTGGTGTCCACGTTGGACGAAGTGCTCGGGGAAGTCGACATCGAAAAAGTGAGTATTTGAAATTGATTCTAAAACAGAGGAAATGTTCTACGAGTGACTCGAGACTCGTAACCAAGTCGTTGAATGACGTGAACGAGGGGACGTGTGAAAGCGTGGTGCAAGTATCGGGAGCCGGAGTTGAAGTGTCACAACTTCTGAAACTGCAGTCTGTTTTTCTGAATGGGATGAGTAAAACGATTGACTCTGCATTTGGCGATAAGGCGGCTAGATAAGCACGCGCTGCATTTTTATCAGCATACGTGCGCGTGTCTCGTAGATCAATGCACTCTTCGTGCTTACACAGCGCTTTCTAAATTACGTCTATACGGATAGCAGATTTTTAACAAATATTTTACAGAGATTGCGATTCAACTTGATTTTCAATTGAAAAACATCCTGTGTTCCAGGAATATGAGCCCGCGACGACGATCCTGAAGGCAACGATCTCACAAATGGACGTTGAAACAGAGAAGGCCGCGTGTCCGAATGGGAAGCCTGTGTTCGTTCGCGCTAATTAACGTTTGACCACCCTAATACTCGTTCATACATACTTATGAACCAATTGTACGCGGCGTATTTAAAGTATTATTTCCTCGTGAAATGAACGATTACCACCGTTACATCTGTCGTGCAGATTTATCAAAATGAATAATACGAATAACGTAAGAATTGGCCAGAGAGAGATGAGACTAGATTTAATTAAGCGTCGGCTCGTGATATTACAATGTAAAAAATATACCTAAATAAACATTATTTTTACATGTTAACTGGTTATAGAAAACATTCGGAGTACAGTGCATGATGTAACAATTATAATTATTGTACGTTCGTGAATTTTCCTAGTCGCGATAACTTATGACATATCATTCATCGCCTGTTTTAATTAAAATGCAGTGTTCTAAATAAGATCAAGTTTGATAGTCTACTGCGAAGGACACGCGATAAGTGAAGAAGCAAATAGACGAAGGAACATATCTCAATTCTCTAGGATGCAAAGTTTAGAGCTCGTCGTGAACTCGCGACCCCACGTGTCTCTGTTTAACATATTGTGACCAATAATACCACTCCTTTTACACTACACGTGCTCTGCGTATCCTGAATATTCTTAATTATATTTTTAATTATATCTACTGCGCAAAGATCCGCCGCAATTGTTCCTACCAAATTGTGTCCAAGCAATGATTGTTGGTCCTTTGAAAATTTTTGAAAATTGAAAAGATCTGTTTGAATAAATTTAGATTCAGATCGATAGAACGTGACCTAAGTAGGTTATCAATATGCAAGGAGGTAAAAATGCAACTGCAGATTACATGTCTCGAGGTATAGAAGAAAGTTCACGGAGTATCTTTCCCCAAGGATGGAAGACGCTGACGCGACGTAATTATGATTATAAATATGTTCCGCCTGAATCTGATCGGTGTCATTTTCTAGTTTGCTACGGATTTCGACATGTGGCTTCCTCTGACTCTTCTAGTTCTTGGTAAGTGAAACCAGCCGTTCTCAGTCAGACACTCTTTCTGAGTCGCCATTCCACGATTCTCGAACTTTCAATGCCTTCATTTTCATAACGACGATTAGATTTAAATGAAAATAAATCCTTTTGGGTTTCGCAGCGGGTTTAGTTTCGGCCGACTTCGAGCATGGCTGGAAACCCGGGCACGAGTACACCTACCTAGTCCGGAGTCGCACGCTGACGGGCCTGCCTAAATTATCAGATCAACACGAAGGTGTCCTGATTAAAGCACTGCTGACGTTACAGGCCAAGGACTCGAACAAATTGACCGGTCAATTGACCCGCGGTCAATATGCTCACATCTACAAGTTGTTGCCGAAGGGATGGGAGACGGAGATATCCGACCAGATGTTGGAACTCGTCGACCTGCCCTATTCCGGCAAATCGTTCGAGATCCTGCTTAAGCACGGCGTGATCCGGGACGTGGTGGTGGATCGTAGCGTTCCTACATGGGAAGTGAACTTCCTGAAGAGCGTCATTAGCCAGCTGCAGGTGGACAGCCAGGGTGTGAACGTGATCAAGACCAAAGAAGTACAAGCGCCCAGCGACAACGAACCGTATGGTTCGTTCAAGGCTATGGAAGATTCCGTGAGTGGGAAATGCGAGGTTCAGTACGACATCACGCCGTTACCTGGCCACGTGCTTCTGGCGGAACCGGAATTGGTACCGATGCCTAATCTGAAGGGAGACGGTCTCCATATCGACATCATGAAGACGAAGAACTTCGACAACTGCGTTCAGAAGATGGAGTACCACTTCGGTATCACCGATAACAAAAAGTGGGAACCCGGCACGAACGGCAACGGGAAATTCCTTTGGAGATCCGCCACGAGCAGAGTGATCATCTCTGGGAACTTGAAGAGCTTCACTATTCAATCTTCGGTGACCACTAGCAAGATATTCGTCAGCCCGAGGTTCTGGGATCACCAGAACGGATTAGTGGCCAGCAGAATGAACTTGACTCTAGGAGGGATGAAGCCGATCGCGAACCCTCTGCCGTTGGTCAACAATCCGGAGTCTACTGGCAACTTGGTGTACACTTTCGTCGATCCTCGGGACGGACACAGGATCCCTAGGCGCATTGTGAACTCGAACGAGATCTTAACTTCGGACAGCATCAGTTCCGTTAGTTCCAGCGAAGAAACTAACAAGAAGAACGAATTGAACCTTCGTAGCTTCGCGTCGAGTGCCTCCGACTCCAGTAGCTCGATTTCTCTTAGCAAAGAGAACGACTTCTGGCAACCGAAACCATCCTTGGAGGACGCTTTACATATTCCTCTGTTGCCCGAGTTCCTCAGCGGCGAGGGCAAGAAGAAGAACGAGAACGAAGACGTCGAAGACGCCAAACAGCTGATCATGCTAATTTCCAATGAAATAGAAGACCCCAGCGAGATCACTACGAAGAACACCCTCGACAAATTCGTGGGACTGTGCAACGGTATTCGCATGATGAACAGAAATCAGATAGCGACACTCGAGAAGAACATGAAATTCTCTCGCAACGAGCTGAAATCGAAGGACAAGTCAGCGGCCACGAAACAGAACGCGTGGGCGGTGCTGAGGGACGCCGTCACCCAAGCTGGAACCGGACCTGCCTTGTTAACGATCAAGAACTGGATCCAGAAGAGCGACATCGGATACTACGAGGCTGCGGACGTCTTGTCTAGAATCCCGAAAGCTGTTCGCGTGCCCACTGCGGAGTACGTCGAGGCCTTCTTCGTAAGTGTCGACCTCTTCGAATACTATTTTATTTATTTGTCAAACGAGCTAAAAACTCTTTTATGCATACGAAAATATATATCAAGTAGAGATATTATACAGGAAATTATTAATAAAATAACAATATTCTCAAACATTTTTTATTTATCATAGGAATTGGCAACTAGCCAGGAAGTGAAAGACGAGCCAGTACTTGAAAACGCGGCACTGATCGCGCTTGGCGAGTTGATTCGCATTTCCCTTGTGGACGGGAAGAGCATCCACAACCGCTTCCCGGTGCACACCTTCGGCCGCCTCACGTCTAAGCACGACAAAACTGTCGAAGACAAGTATATACCATATTTGGCCAGCGAATTGAAAGCGTCTGTCCAGAAAGGTAACAGCCCAAGGATCCAGACTCTGATCTTAGCTTTGGGTCTCACGGGCCATCCGAAGATGTTGTCTGTCTTCGAGCCGTACTTGGAAGGCAATGAGAAGATGACGACGTTCCAAAGAACATTGATTGTTTCCACTTTGAGTGTACTGGCCGAGATCAATCCTAAATTGGCACGTTCGGTCCTCTACAAGATCTATTTGAACACCATGGAGAACCATGAGCTCCGTTGCACAGCCGTTTTCCTCTTATTGAAGACCAACCCGCCGTTGAGCATGCTGCAACGCATGGCGGAGTTCACCAACATCGATACGAACAAGCACGTGAATTCGGCGGTGAAATCGTCCCTCGAGAGCCTGACGAAGTTGAGTAACCCGGAATGGAAAGACCTGGCAAAGAAAGCACGCACCGCTTCGGAATTGTTGACCAAAACCGATTACAGCTATCAATTCTCCCATGGAATCGCGACCGACATTGTGGACAACAAGCGAAACATAATTAACGAGCTCGTTCTGAATTACATCGGCAGTGACGACAGCTGCATACCCCGTGCTCTGTATTTTGGCCTGTATTCCACTTTCGGTGACATGAAGACGCCACCGAGCGAATTGTTGATCATGATGTCGAGCGTGAAGACTTTCGTCGAGACAAGCTTGAAGACTTTCAATCAGGACAAAGAGACTGTCAAATCGATGGTCGATACGATCGTCAAGGAATTGAATATTGTTGCTGACAAAGCCACGCCTTTTGAAGGAAACTTATTGTGGAGCTCGAAATTCATAATGCAGTTCATGCCGTTCGACAGGCACACCATCGACACACTTTTGCAAGGTGAATATTACTCACATGATTTCAAGGGGTGACGAACTGGCAAGCCATTTATGACTTTTGCCCCTAGTCTTCTCTCTTCAGCTTTTACTTCTCCTATGCCTATTTACTATTTTCTATGGCGTTTTGCGACGACATTTTTAATATTGAGACAAACAATTTAATTTTCTTTAGGATTTTATTTTATCATACAATTTCTAACAAGAAACTAAAAAAAATTGCTATTCATCGAATTAGAGAACGTAATTTTTAACTGTTTTATTCAGGTCACCAATAAAACTTGTATCTTGTTATTGCATTTTAGGGCTCTTGAAGAGTTTGATGGACATTAAGCAGGAAAACTACATAAATATGAACAAGTTAGCGTCGTACGACATGACCCTGGCATTCCCAACCGAAACTGGCTTGCCATTCATTTACACTTTGAGGGTGCCGATGCTCTTCAAGATCAGCGGAACTGGTATGGCACAAATGAACAAGGACTTGAGCGTGAAAGCGGCGGGCAGTGTGCGACTGGTCTGCGCGAAGAAAGTCCAGGGCAGAATCGGCTTCGTGACTCCGTTCGATCGGCAACTTGTCGGAGCCGGCGAGGACGTGAACCTGCAGACCTACATACCCGTGAAAGCGACGTTGGAATTGAATATCCCGCAGCATAAAATCCAGCTGAAGACCTGGCCGCTGAAAGGAGAGGAGAACGCCCGATTGGTGCACCACACTATCCGCCCGTACACTTTCCGTCGGGACGCTGACACCTTGAAACAGGCGAAAAAGGGCAAACACTGGATAGTGAATGAAGACGTCCCGGAACCTATTACCGTCTTCGACCGATTCAGTTTCAAGGTGAATGCTGCGGCAAGTCAGTCCGACGATTATTGGGACATGGATTTGAATGACTTGGTCAATTACGTAATTGATCCGTGGACGTCGGACAACGGCGATTACCGCGAGACGGAAGTGTTATTAAATCTGAAGGACGACAAAGAGAAACCGACGATACTGACGGTGGCATGGAACTGCTTGGACTTAGGATCTACAGACGTCACGAACTGGAAAGACATGGCTCAGGCCGTGGAACCAACCAACAAGGATCCCGACAGCGAAGCTCGTAGGAAGGAGTTCTTGGAGGAAGCAGCTAAAGGCATCAAATTGGCTAAATCGAGAGTCGTTGACATCGAACTGCAGACCGCTGGTAAAGATCGAGCTTCCAACGCTCTTACTTTAGCCTGGTCCGAAAGCAATGTCGAGAATAAAGGCCGGATATTGATGTACTGGAACCTCGACTCGCCTAAAACCGAAATTTGCGCAGATGCTAGAATTCACATGAAACCAGACACTGCGCTCTTTTACGATCAGGCTATAAAGTCTATGCCCAAAGGAGAATTCGACATCGACGTTCGCTATGGAGAAAGATGCACCAGAGGTGATAGAATAAACATAAAGGGTAAACTGACTCAGAGCAATGGACTGAGGTCCCGTATCAAGAATACTGCCCTCGCGAAGACGTGCGAGGAACAAATGAAACAGGGCAACAAGATCTTGCGAGCCTGTCAAAAAGCAGCTGACCTCGCCATGACACCTGACGATCTCCAGATCTCCGCAGACATCAAGTCGGAGACCTTACAGACTCTGGTCAACGGTGCTCTCAGTCTTATTGACAACAGCGACTACGTGGGGATGAACGTGGACACTGTGAAGCCTAGGAACGCTGGTAAAAATAAGATCGACATCGAAGCCTCCCTGTCCCACGACCTCGAGACGGTTCAGATGTCTATATTCACTCCTACGATGAACGTCGTGATCGACGATATAGGTCTGTCTACGCTTGGACTTGACATAGACGATGTTCTGGACATTCCTGAGCAGAATTTGAACATGAACGACCTCGTGAACGAGGATGATGAACGTAAGTGTCCTAATGAATAGACTGTCTTCAAGATTTGATATTTTTTAAATTGGTATCAGAAATGCTTTATTTCGCATGAAAATGTCTTGTAATGAAAAATGTGGATATATGATACTCCTATACGTTGAAAACGATATAACTCGAGTTTGCTTCTTGATTTTTACAGCCACTTGCATGTTGGACAAAACCAGAGTAGAGACTTTCGATGGCAAGGACTATCCTCTGAGATTAGGCAATTGTTGGCACGTAGTAATGACCACGTTCCCGAAGATGGATGTTGAGAAACCCAACGAGAAGCTCGCCATCCCTGAGGATAGCAAAGTGAGCATCCTCAGTCGAGAAACGCAGGACGGCCGCAAGGAAGTGAAAGCTATTCTCGGAAAACACGAGATTCTGCTCCTGCCCGGTTCGCCCCAGGTCCAGGTCACAGTGAACGGCGTGAACACTCAGATAACGCAAGATAAGGTCTACCAGGAGAGACAAGGCGACGATGTCGTGTTTGAGATTTTCAAAGTCGGCGATCAGTCCATTCAATTGGTTTCCGAGGAGTACGACGTGGATCTCACCTTTGATGGAAAACGTCTCATGATTCAGGTGATTACTTTTAAAATAACGAAAGACATGTAGATCCTCTTCGTCGCTATGAATAATAACGAATTTGAATCCGTCTGTAGGCATCGGAAAGGTACCTGGGATCGCTCCGTGGTCTCTGCGGTAACTACGACGGCGACGCCCACAACGATTTCACCGGCCCCAAGAATTGCATCCTGAAGAAACCCGAATTGTTCACCGCCAGCTATGCCCTGACTAAGGACGAATGCGAGGGCGAGTCACTGGCCAATGCGAAATCGATCCAAATCGAGGATTGCCTCCCCCAAAATTGGAATCGGGCGAGTAACGTGATCAACGACGTCGAGTCTGGTCGCAAGAACGCGGAACAAGTTAGTTGGGGATACCGTAAGAACGCGCAGACGGGAGAGAAACAGTGCACCACTCACAGGACCAAAATTCATGAAACCGGCGACAAGATCTGCTTCACTACGCGTCCAGTGACGTCCTGCGTCGATGGCTGCTCGGCCACCGAGACCAAGACGAAGAATTATCAATTCCACTGCATGGAGAAGAACGAGCGTGCACTCAGCCTGAAAAAGAGAATCGAGAAGGGTGCCAACCCTGATTTGAGCCAGAAATCCGTGTCCCTGACTCATGCCTTGACCGTGCCCGTTGCTTGCAAGGCCTAAATTTCACATACCTGAGCAGTAGATCTAGTTGACCTCACCTTTTTATCCTTTTAGTAATACTAGTAGTTTTTGCATTTAGTCTGTGACTCAATTTTAATAAAATTTTCCGTTTTCAATACTTATACCACTTATTTTCTTCTTTATTCTCGCCTACTTATCTTATCGTAGAATTTTTGCTTGTTACCTGAACGCGACAATTTCTCGGGAATCGTGGTAGACACGGAGATTCATGAATGGGACACCTTAAATGGAACTTATCCAAGTGGCAATCCATTTTCTGAATTTTCTCACAAATCTCATCCTCTTTCGTACATCGGCCTTCCTGTTCAAATTCTTTTCGTAAACCAGAAAGCAGATCTTGCCCTTGTCTTCTTTTACTGGCAGACGGTGACGGTGGTTCGTACGCTTGGGACAGAGCAATGTCCATGTATATACGATTCCATTTACGTATTATCTCCTCCTGCATTTCGTACGGTTCGCCTAGATTTACAACGGGATCTTTTGCAATGTCAAGTATCGTATAAGTAGACTGTAGATTTTATTCATTTATAAGACAACTGAACGTAAACGTGTAATAAAGTAAAAGTTCAGAATATGAGAAATTGGATGCACGTCTACAACTTCGAATAATAAAAAGAAGCATATTTTTCGAAACGATACCACAAACGTTTTATTTTCCACAAATATCCACAGCTTATCCATAAGAATTTTTATAAACGATAATCAGAATTTACTTCTATAAACTGGTACGCAGCCTGTCCTCCGGCTCCTCTCGACCTCTCGAATTTCCCTCTCGCATCGCTCGTAATGTGTCCCCTGCAGCACGAGCGATGGTCTTCTATCGATCTGGCAATCCTTGCACTTTTCCCTCGGCTTCTTCTTCTTCCAGCGCACGTACCGTTTATACTCCAAGCACTTTAGCATCTCCTCTATCAGAGTGAACTGCGTCCCATCGATTCTCGTGATCACGCCCGGTCGTTGCGCCGTTCTTAGCAAATGGTGAAGCTAGAACGAGGTAATTCGGGTAATCGCCACTTTTATGGTTTAGGTCTGTTTCATGGGGTGTCCCAATGGAAGTTGCCGAAACTGCTGCTATTTTTATATACGCATTTAATAAAGAGTCGCAATTTTCTTAAATACAGAATGACAATTTTAAATAAATATACAAATATTATATGTGTTGAATAATTTAGCAGGGTTGGCTTCCACAAAGATAATTATTTATTAAAACTAGAAAAGATTTTACACGCGTCTATTCAGCAACCTTCTACTTCTCGTATTCGCGCTGGACTAAACGTACAGAGATTTGAAACCATATACACTGTACGCAAGACAAAGGGACAAAGCGTTTACTGTATTAAATAGAAAAACCCCGCATGGCAATAGACGGCCGCGACTCGACCTACAAAAACTTGTTATGATATACCATAATCTATTATTATAGACGCGGGGAACGTACGACTAAGAATAAACTTATAGCTAAATATTCGTCGTTTCAAAATATTCTTAGATCACTATGAAAATCTAACAATATGAAAAAGAACGTTCGCATACTATTAATTATTTAACGTAAACTGAATGATTATACTCGCTTGTAATTAATTTATACCTTAAAGAGGATGAACAATGTCCAGTGCATCGACTCGCGCTCTATCACGGCTTGCATGTGGTTTATCTCTGCCTGCCTGAATTTATTCATGTTCTCGATGGCTTCCTCGTTCTTCGCGTAGACTTCTTTCAACCATCGCTTCATCTTCTGAATGTCGCGGACCGTTTTTCGTATCCAGTAGCCGCGCCAGAACGCCTGGATTCTCGTAGCCATCGCGTCGTAATAATCCTGCCACATTTGATGGACGCTGTGGATCAGGTATCGATCCACGGCGATCCTTGTGTGATAACCGCGCCAGTGACGTTGAATAGTGACTGCGCTCTTGTGCAGCAAACGGAAATGGTTGCGAGTGAAGATTCCGCGGATCCACGCCTAGCAGAAATAGATAATCGCAATGTCGAAGGGTTGGCCGATGCATTTTATACGTAACTAACTATGTGTGCCTCACATTCACCCTTACGATTAGAATTGTACTTCGTATATAC